GATGGGTTAAGGACCTTCTACAGCCCTGTCCAGCTCTCCTAGAGTAACTGCTTGTATCCTGGAATCTCCTCCATGCTCCTGAGAATGTGCTGGGAGACACAGCAAACCTTCTGGCAATGGCATGTATTGATGTGCCATCCTGGAGGAGTTGGACTAGCTGTGCAACCTCTGTAGGGTCCAGGTATGGCCTCATGCTACCAGTCGTGATGTTGACCCTAGCCAAATGCAAAACTAGTGAAAAACAGTCAGAAAAGATGAGTAGGGAAATAAATGTCAGTGGCTTCCATTAGAATCCACTAGAAAGCATGGGGGAGCAATCAGAGCAGCAGCCTGTGAGATGCTGAGCAGCCCAAAATAATCAACCCCTGGTCCTCTTATTACAGGGGAGCCAACTAATCTTACCTAGAAGTCTACGCTATACTAGGAGGTGCTACACATGTGTAGCGCCCTGCTAGGCAGCTAGGGGGAGCTAGACTCCAATTGACAATTGAGTAGCAGCCCAGGTGTAATAATCACCGGATCAAATTTCAATCAGGGGCTGTGAGGCTCTGCAGACCAGCTTTCTGAGACTTTCCCCTGCACTAGAACTTTGGAGAAAGTTCTAGAAGCAGTGGGCGGAGGTGAGGAGTGGCTGATCTGCACTTTTGAGGGATCCTGGCCAATCCCCAACAGGAAGCTTGGCATGGGGCCATGGCAGCCCTTAAAGGTGGTAGAACCTGCTCAGCAGTGGGAGAGTTCGGTGGAAGATGAGGAAGTGAGGCTGGAGAGCAGGAGTCTGAGAGGGGCTCACTTACAAGCAGAGGAGCTTGGAAGGAGGAAAGCTCAGGTCTTCACCAGCCACCAGAGCAAGGACCACCTGTGCAGCAGGAAAGGAGCGGCCCAGCTAGAAGGCCTGGTAGCAGCCATCAACCCACCAACAAGAAGGACTGAGTGAGTAAACCTGCACCCCCTGGCCAGCAAGGGGAAAGAGGTACTCTAGTGGGAAGCTGGATTAGCTTTTTACCTGGGACTGTTCCCACTGCAGTGGCAGGCACTGGATCCCCTGCCCAGGGGATCACCCAGTAAAGCTGGATGAGGAGAAGAGTCATCTGGGGTCTGGGGTGGCACCACAGGAGATGCTGGCTAGCTCTCCAAAAGAGACTATTTGCTGTAAAGGCTTGTACATAGTTGCTAAGGAGTTTGACCTCAGTTGCCATTACCCTTGGGCATCCCATATACCCCTTACCCCATCCAAGTTCTAATTCCCCTAGTAATACTTAAAAACAAAGCTCAAGGACTGGTTACTGTCTCCTGGATGCAAGTCTTGCCTGAAATGCATGTTGCCTGGCTGTGCAGGGCTATAAGGGGACACAAACTTCAGCGACTCCATGCTACACCTGCAGCCAGTAAAAATGGTAAAAAAAAAGTCCAAATTCTTTGTTGCAGATCAGTAACTGTCAAATCTTTAGTGTGACAGTCGGTCAATCGGCTCTACTAGAAGAGAAAGGTCACCCTTCGTATTTCACTTCCTTTAAATATTTGAAATGTTGGATCGAACACAATCGACGTTCGCTCCTAATATTCTCCCACCTTGTTTCAAGGCTAGTTTTCTGCCCCGCGAACCGGTATTGGTGGAATATCGACCACGGTTATGTAGGAGTCAAATAGAGAAAATCTAAATTTCTGTTATGTAGTTGGAATACTGAAAGGAATTATAAACAAAAAAAAAGTAAAAGTATCTATTTTTGCTGCTTGAAAGTTCCAGGTCATAAAACTACTTTGTCATTTGATGTATGACGGTTCACTATGCGAGATTCGTCACTGTCAGCCGAGACGTATATATCTATCTTCCATCTCTTAATCTGGGATTTTATAGCGTGGGGCTGTTTTATATGAGCGCTTCTCCGATCCGCGCTAAGATACTGTGTAGGGTTAAGGAACTCCGATGTTTGGAAATGAGACTCGCTGGAAATTTGCATTCAAGTTACAATGTTTGTCGCCTTCCTTTGCTGTGGAAGAACCAATCCAGTACACTGTAATTCATGCTAAGCCTGTGCCCGCCACCCCCAATTTGGGGCGGTTGAGTGACCAAATTTTGACATATTTTTAACTTTTCCATTAACCTCTTCCTGGCAAGCCCTGCCCATATGGAAGAAAAATATATTTGAAATGTATTTTAAAAATATTCTTCCCAAATATATTGCCATATATTTGAAATACTAAAATTTTGGCCATATTCAATATATTTCAAAATATATTTCAATAATATATATATATATATATATATGAAAAATATTTTTAAAAATATCATCTCAAATATGAGATATCTTAAAAATCATTTCAAATATACTGTATGTCTTTAAAAATACAAATCTACATTTTTGGAATGGATTTACAATATATATGTAAAAAATATATGTTAACCATTAGCCACCCGGCCTATAGCCGTTTGGTGGCGGCAAAAATGCATCAGCTTTCCGGGTGCACGCCATTCGGCGTGCTCCCGCACATGCGCAGTTCGCGCGGTTGCAGAGCCGCGCAGCGGCGCGATCTGTCACCGGCTGTGTACCTTGGACACGGCCGACGACAGATCTGAGTACCGGCCCCCGTTGCCGGTACCATGTGACCTGCTGTGACCAATCTATAAGCAAATTGTGTAAAAAAAAAAAAAAAAAAATACTGATCACTTCCCCAAAGTAGTACAATGTTACTATGGTAACATTGTACTACTTTGGTCAAAGTAAAATATGAAAAAAAATCTTAAAAAAATTAAAAAAATGTAATAAAAAATGTAAAATAATAAAAAAAAAATATATATATATTTTTTTTTTTCATACTGTCACCAGTCAGTGTCCCTGATTACCACCATGCCAGTTATATGATGACGCTGTACTGCACTGGTGACAGTATGTAAAAAAAAAATAGTGAAAATAATTTTTTAAATTTTTTCATTTTCAGAAAAATTATGACAAAAAAAATACAACTTCAAAAAACTCGCCATTCCTCTTATGAAGTACGTTGAACTGTCTACTCTGCAAAATTTGGGGGGTACTGTTTGGGGGATATCTGTACTGTTCTGACATTTGGGGGATATCTGCCCTGTTCTGACATTTGGGGGATATCTGTCTGTTCTGACATTTGGGGGATATCTGTACTGTCCTGACATTTGGGGGATATCTGTCCTGTTCTGACATTTGGGGGATATCTGTACTGTCCTGACATTTGGGGGATATCTGTACTGTCCTGACATTTGGGGGATATCTGTCCTGTTCTGACATTTGGGGGATATCTGTCCTGTTCTGACATTTGGGGGATATCTGTACTGTTCTGACATTTGGGGATATCTGTACTGTTCTGACATTTGGGGGATATCTGTACTGTTCTGACATTCTTGGACCTCAAGAAATTAGATTGGCCGTCAGTACTTCAGGATTTATCAATATTCAGATCTATACCATAGTTTGTGAACTCTATAACTTTCCTACAAACTAAATAATACATCCTAATTTGGGTTATTTTCACCAAAGACATGTAGCAGAATACATCTCGGCCTAAATTTATGAAGAACAATTATTTATTTGTAAACTTTTATAACAGAAACAAAGAAAAATTTGTTTTGTTTTCAAAATTTTTGGTCTTTTTTTGTTAATTTAGCAAAAAATAAAAACCCCAGCGGTGATTAAATACCACCAAAAGAAAGCTCTAGTTGTGTGAAGAAAATGATAAAATTTTTGTTTGGGTACAATGTTGTATGACCGCGCAATTGTCATTCAAAGTGTGAGAGCGCTGAAACCTGAAAAATGGCCAGGGCAGGAAGGTGTAAAATTGCCCGGTATTGAAATGGTTAAAATGACTTTTTTTAGTATGTTAAAAAAATCTGAAGAATATATTTAAAAATTATATTTTAAATATATTCTTCAGATTTTTTTTAGCAAAGTGGAAGCAACTGGCAACAACAGCAACTCAGCCACCAAGTGGTAGGCCACGTAAAATGACAGAGCGTGGTGATAGAAGGAAGAAGTACAAGCAGCCAATCGCTTCACGTGCTAACTATAAGCATGCTGATTGGACTGTCCAGTCACCGGCTGGGGTGGGCTCAGAGGAAGTGGGCTGAGAGGCTCTGGTCATCAGACTGAGGACATCTAGTGGCAGGAAAAAAAAATCTGGTTTAGTTATTTTACCTTTGAGGCCACCTTCACGCAGCAGTTTAGATACATACAGTACACTGGATTCCAGAAGAAAGGATCAACGGATTCCTGTGGCTGGAATGACAGATGCATGCAAATAATAGTGGATGCTCAGCCTGTACAATGTATTGTCAGGCTTTTCTCATGTAGCTGCACACTTCAGCAAGACTGGAAGTGAGGAGAAGCCTGAACAGCAGCAAATACCAGACAGATGTGTCATCCTTCTCCATTCTTTCCAAAACTAGACGTTTCTGCTTCTGCAAAATAATTAATTAATTTTGACACAAATAACAGCTTTTCATTAAAAAGCAAAAAAAAAAAAACAAAAAAAAAACACAAAACAAAAAACCCCACGACTTCTAGAATCTAAAACATGAATAAATAAATGTAAAAAAGTAAGATAAAAAGAACTTATTCTATAGCAGATGTTTTGCAGATAACTGTAGTATCCAAAATTATATGTTTAATAAACAAAACCCACCATACTACCTATAAAATGTAAGTAAACAAATATATAAATAACAATAAATTATTTATCCTATAGCAGTTTTGAAGATTTCTATAGAATACTGTATTTTTCGCTCCATAAGACGCACTTTTTTCACCCCAAAAAAGGGGGGGGAAATGTCAGTGCGTCTTATGGAGCGAATATAAAGCGGCCGGTCCAGTATTTCTGCCGCCACCATGTCAGAATACCGGGCCGGCCGCTCAGCTCTTCTCTCCTGCAGGGCCTTACCTGTTGCTCGCTCCAGCGCTGCAGTCTTCCCGCGCTGGCTTCTGTGACAGCCGGGTGCCCACTGCGCATGCGCGAGAAGTGTTGCGCTTTGTGAATGGTCCGGTGTCTTCTGGGACACATGACAGGTCCCAGAAGGCTCCGGGCCATTCACAAAGTGCAGCGCTTCTCGCGCATGCGCAGTGGGCACCCGGCTGTCACAGAAGACGGCGCGGGAAGAAGAGGGAGGGACAACTCCGCGGAAGTGGGAGCGGGTACCTATCAAATTCAGGTACCCGCTCCCCCTCCCTCCCGTAAGGTCCGCAGTCTCTGGTTATCCCCTGCACTGTCTGCAGTCTCTGGTCATCTGTACTATGTCCGCAGTCTCTGGTCATCTCCTGTACTGTGTCCGCAGTCTCTGGTCATCTCCTGTCCCCTGTACTGTGTCCGCAGTCTCTGGTCATCTCCTGTACTATTTCCGCAGTCTCTGGTCATCTGTACTATGTCCGCAGTCTCTGGTCATCTCCTGTATTGTGTCTGCAGTCTCTGGTCATCCCCTGCACTGTGTCCGCAGTCTCTGGTCATCTCCTGTACTATGTCCGCAGTCACTGGTCATCTCCTGTACTGTGTCCGCAGTCTCTGGTCATCTCCTGTACTGTGTCCGCAGTCTCTGGTCATCTCCTGTACTATTTCCGCAGTCTCTGGTCATCTCCTGTACTGTGTCCGCAGGCTCTGGTCATCTCCTGTACTATGTCCGCAGTCTCTAGTCATCTCCTGTACTGTGTCCGCAGTCTCCGGTCATCTCCTGTACTATGTCCGCAGTCTCTGGTCATCTCCTGTACTATGTCCGCAGTCTCTGGTCATCTCCTGTACTGTCCGCAGTCTCTGGTCATCTCCTGTACTGTCCGCAGTCTCTGGTCATCTCCTGTACTATGTCCGCAGTCTCTGGTCATCCCCTGTACTGTGTCCACAGTCTCTGGTCATCTCCTGTACTATGTCCGCAGTCTCTGGTCATCCCCTGTACTGTGTCCACAGTCTACTGGTCATCCCCTGTACTGTGTCCGCAGTCTCTGGTCATCTCCTGTACTATTTCCGCAGTCTCTGGTCATCTGTACTATGTCCGCAGTCTCTGGTCATCTCCTGTATTGTGTCTGCAGTCTCTGGTCATCCCCTGCACTATGTCCGCAGTCTCTGGTCATCCCCTGTACTGTGTTCGCAGTCTCTGGTCATCTCCTGTACTATGTCCGCAGTCTCTGGTCATCTCCTGTACTATGTCCGCAGTCTCTGGTCATCCCCTGTACTATGTCCGCAGGCTCTGGTCATCTCCTGTACTATGTCTGCAGTCCATTGGTTCAGAATATTTTTTTTCTTGTTTCCCGCCTCTAAAATCTAAGTGCGTCTTATGGTCAGGTGCGTCTTATAGAGCGCGAAATACGGTAATATTCAGAATTAAATGTTACATAGTAAAAAACACTGCTCTACTTGTAAAATCTAAGAAAACAAAGCCAAAAACAAACAAACTTAAATTAAATGAAATCAAATTAAATGAAATTAAAAGAAAAATAAAATATTTTCATATAGTAGCGGTTTTGCAGATATCTACAGAATAGTATCTAAAAATATTTTATATGAAGACCCTGTACTACCTATAAAATCTAAGCATAAATAAATAAATAATACATACATACATAAAATAAAATGAAATAAAAATAACTATAAATGAATACCCTATAGCAGCTGTTTTGCAGATATCTAAAGACTAGTATCCAAAAATATATACTTCATACGGGAAGCACAGTGGCTAAGTGGGTAGCACTTCCGCCTGGAATTGGTTGAAATCCCAACCATGGCACCACCTGCCTGGAGTTTGCATGTTCTCACTGTGCCTGCGTAGGTTTCCCCTGGGTACTCCAGTTTCCTCCCACTCTCCAAAGACATGCTGGGACAGAGGCGGACTGACCATCCGAGCACTCGGGCACTGCCCGAGGGCCTTGGGTCAGTAGGGGGCCCCATGAGTTGCCCCTGGTATCTTTCATTGGCTGTTTCATAGGCTTTTTTGGGTGTGGGCGAAGACACAGGGGCCCCATGATCCCTTATTGCCCGGGGTCCCCCTGTGCTGGGAGGATAATCGGCTCCTGTCTAACCCTCCTTAGTATGTGAGTTAGGGATCTTAGATTGTACACCCCTTGAGGGTTAGGGACTGATGTGAATGTACAATATATATGTAAAGCGCTGCATAAATTGACAGCACTATATACAGGTGAAACTCGAAAAATTCGAATATCGTGCAAAAGTTCATTTATTTCAGTAATGCAACTTAAAAGGGGAAACTAATATATGAGACTCATTACATGCAAAGCAAGATAGTTCAAGCCGTGATTTGTCATCATTGTGATGATTATGGCTTACAGCTCATGAAAACCCCAAATCCACAATCTCAGAAAATGAGAATATTACATGCAATCAATAAAACAAGGATTGTACATAGAACAATATCGGACCTCTGAAAAGTAGAAGCATGCATATGTACTCAGTACTTGGTTTGGGCCCCTTTTGCAGCAATTACTGCCTCAATGTGGCGTGGCATGGAAGCTATCAGCCTGTGGCACTGCTGAGGTGTTATGGAAGACCAGGATGCTTCAATAGCGGCCTTCAGCTCTTCGGCATTGTTCAGTCTCATGTCTCTCATCTTTCTCTTGGCAATGCCCCATAGATTCTCTATGGGGTTCAGGTCAGGCGAGTTTGCTGGCCAATCAAGCACAGTAATCCCACGGTCATTGAACCAGGTTTTGGTGCTTTTGGCAGTGTGGGCGGTGCCAAGTCCTGCTGGAAAATGAAGTCAGCATCCCCATAAAGCTCGTCTGCGGAAGGAAGCATGAAGTGCTCCAAAATCTCCTGGTAGATGGCTGCGTTGACCCTGGACTTAATGAAGCACAGTGGACCAACACCAGCAGATGACATGGCTCCCCAAATCACCACAGACTGCGGAAACTTCACACTGGACTTCAAGCATCTTGCAGTGTGTGCCTCTCCATTCTTCCTCCATACTCGGGGTCCTTGGGCCTCTCCATTCTTCCTCAATACTCTGGGTCCTTGGGCCTCTCCATTCTTCCTCCATACTCGGGGTCCTTGGGCCTCTCCATTCTTCCTCCATACTTGGGGTCCTTGGTTTCCAAATGAGATGCAAAAGTTGCTCTCATCAGAAAAGAGGACTCTGGACCACTGAGCAACAGACCAGGTCTGTTTTTCTTTAGCCCAGGTAAGACGCTTCTGATGTTTGTTGTTCAGGAGCGGCTTGACAAGAGGAATACGACATTTGAAGCCCATGTCCAGGATCCGTCTGTGTGTGTGAGTCACTCTTGATGCACTGACTCCAGCCTCAGTCCACTCCTTGTGAAAGTCCCCAACACTTTTGAATGTCCTTTTCCTGACAATCCTCTCCAGGCTGCGGTCATCCCTGCTGCTTGTGCACCTTTTTCTTCCACACTTTTCCCTTCCACATAACTTTCTATTAATGTGCTTTGATACAGAACTTTGGGAACATCCAACTTCTTTTGCAATTACCTTTTGAGGCTTTCCCTCCTTATGGAGGGTGTCAATGATGGTTTTCTGCACAACTGTCAGGTCAGCAGTCTTTCCCATGATTGTGATTCCTACTGAACCAGACTGAGAGACCATTTAAAGGCTCAGGAACCCTTTGCAGGTGTTATGGCTTAATTAGCTGATTAGAGTGGGACACTTTGAGCCGAGAATATTGCACCTTTTCACAATATTCTCATTTTCTGAGATTGTGGATTTGGGGTTTTCATGAGCTGTAATGATGACAAATCACGGCTTGAACTATCTTGCTTTGCATGTAATGAGTCTCATATATTAGTTTCACCTTTTAAGTTGCATTACTGAAAAATAAATGAACTTTTGCACGATATTCTCTATTTTTCGAGTTTCACCTGTAAGTACCTGTAATAAATAAATAATACAGAAACACCATGCTACCTATAAAATCTAAGAAAAAAAAAACAAAATAAAAACACTCTTTTTTTCAAATATGATAAAGATTTATAAACCCTGTTTTGCAGTTATCTATAGACCAAAAGGTTAAATAAAATCACAATACTATTGAAAAAAAAAGAAACACATAAAAAATCACGATAAAATAAACATAACTAGCAGCTGTTTTGTGGATATCTATAGATATCAATATTTATATTGATATTTTTATATAAAAGCAGACGTTTAAGTCTCTATGTGTCCTTATTTCAAATGATAAAAGAAATCCTATAAAACTAAACATGTAATAATTTCACACAAAATATACAAATTAATTTGTAATTCTTTGTGACTTCACTTGTATACATATAAACCATGCTTGTAAAGAGTCTCTATGACAACAAAGTCTTTTTTCTTTTTTATAAACTGTATCCGTCACCAGATGTGTGTTTCAGTATTCCATTAGAAAACTATTCCGATCTTCACAATGCAACACCCTGTCTCTCATCGCCTGGACAGGGCATTCACCAGAAGAGTTGGACCTTTAAGGCCTCATTCACACCTGTGTGACACACATTAGCGCATTTTTTGTGCCGTAGTGCAGTGCAGCCTATTCTCTTGATGGGCAGCCGTGTGTGCGACAAACATGCCAAAGCCGTTCCCGTATCTTTTTTAGAAATTGTTTACCGCATGTTTTTTGTTTCCTTGCCGCGTCTGAGGTCCCATTAAGAAACATTGGCAATACAAGCACGAAACGCGTTAGATGCATTTTTTTTAGCTTTCTGGGAACGTGTGTTTCTGGACGTGTTCCCAAATGCAAAGGCATGAAAGGGACAGAGTTAGCCTCCAAGATGAATATTGGGACTATACAGGGGCGGACTGACCATTTGGAAACTCGGGCACTGCCTGAGGGCCCGGGGGCAGTAGGGGGCCCCATGAGATGCCCCTGGTACCTTTTTCATAGGCTTTTTTGAGTTTGGGCTAGGACACAGGGGCCCCATGATCCCTATTACCAGGGGGCCCCATGATTTGTCAGTCCGCCCCTGGGACTATATCATACTCTTTGTGCTCCCAACGTAAGATCCGCTTGAAATGATCATTTACAAAAATCACAAAGGGAATATTCTCATCAAACAACTTATTAAAAACTTAACCCCTCGCCCTCCTGAGGATTTTCCCCCCTTTCCTGACCAGGCCATTTTTTGCATTACGGCGTTTCGTTAACTGACGATTGTGCGGTCATGCAATGCTGCACACAAATGAAATTTACGTCCTTTTTTCCCCACGAATTGAGCTTCCTTTCGGTGGTATTTGAACACCTGTGCGTTTTTATATTTTTTGCGCTTTAAAAAAAATCCCGACAATTTTTGAGAAAAAAACAATATTTTTGACTTTTTGCTATTAAATGTGTCCAGTAAAATTTTTTTTTTTTAAATTTCAGCAGAAATTTAGGCCAAAATGTATTCTGCTCCATGTCTTTGCTAAAAAAAATCCCAATACGTGGAAATTAATTGGTTTGCGTTAAAGTTATAGTGTTTACAAATGGCGGTATAGATACTGGATTTTTTTTTTTTTTTCATTTTTACTAGTAATGGCGGTGATCAGCAACTTATAGCGGGACTGCAGCGGACATTCTGACACTGGGGGGAACTGATTTGGTGTCCCAGTGATCAGTGCTAAAAAACTGACACTGTATTAATGGCATTGGACAGGAAGGGGTAAACATGTGGGGCGATCAAAGGGTTAACTGTGTGCAGGGAGTGTATTACTAGGGGGCAGGATGTGTGTGATTCACTGTAATAACACTGATGTGGATGATCCACAGTAGTGTACCCGAGCTGACAGGGAGGACGACTGTTAGTAAACAAAACAGTTCTCCTACCCGTCAGAGATTCTCAGAAAGCACCGGGCACCGGCGATTAATTACTGGGCGGGGACGGTGATTGACAGCCGTGGCTGCGAATGGCAGCGCGGGTAGGGTGCGTGCGTGCCCCCTACCCAGAAATGCGAAATCACGTATATATACGTGATTTTACGCACCGCTGCCGCCCTGTAGCAGTACTTCTGCTATAGGGTGGTCAGCAAGCTGTTGAGGGCTAGTTCACACCAGTACATTTATATTCTGCATCAGAAACGCATGGACAGTGTTTAACATGGATTCCATATTAACCATTTTTTTTATTCTTACTAGTAATGGCGGTGATCAGCGACTTATAGCGGGACGGCGGTGGACATTCTGACACTGGGTGGGAACAGAGTCGGTGTCCCTGAGATCCCCAGTGACACCAATACAGTGATCAGTGCTAATAAAAAGCACTGACATTGTACTAATGGCACTGGGCAGGAAGGGGTTTACATCTGGGGCGATCAAAGGGTTAACTGCGGCTGTGTGCTGTTTCA